AAACAGAAGAGCTAACCATCCAGAGTTAAATAAACAGCCTGTGCTTTTGTAGTCTTCACAAAAATGCTGGGTGACTAAAATGTGTATCATTACAGGTGCAGAGCAGAAGGAGGCAGCTTACAGGAACTGCCAGCTTGGTTCGAGCCAGAGAAGGTGCACAGCAGTGAAAGCATAAATCGTGGATTAAAGAATTTTAAAATTCTTAAATTACATAATTGGATTTTACAATAAAACATACTACTCTTATACAAAGTTTCATTAAGCCCGGCCAGTGTGAAGACTGAACGTTGTCCAATGGACTGAGAGGTCCCAGTTTGATTCCTGGTCAGGGTACATGCCCCAGTGGTGGGCTCCATTCCCAGCAGGTGGTGTGCAGGAGGCAATCAGTGTTTCTCACACTGATGTTTCTCTCTCTCTCTCTCTCTCTCTTCCTATAGCTCTAAAAAAAAAATCAATAAAGCCCTAGACGGTTTCACTCAGTAGTTAGAGTGTCAGCCCATGGACCAATAAGTCGCGGGTTCAATCCTGGTCAGGGGCACGTGTCTTGGTTGCGGTTTGTTCCCAGCCCTGTCCAGGTCGTGCAGGAGGCAATTGGTGGATGTGGCTTTATCACATCAATGTTTCTCTCTGTCTCTCTCTACCTCCTTCCCACTCTAACTGATGATGAATAGAAAAATATCCTCTAGTGATGAATAAAAAAAAGAAAAAGAAAAAAAATAAATAAAAACGTATTTTAAAAATAATTAAAAGTTTCATTAAAAAAATCTATGTTTAACCCTGGACTGATTTGCTCAGTGGTTAAGCACCAGCCCAAGGACTGAAGGGTAAGGAGTTCAATTCCTGGTCAAGGGCATGTACCTGGATTGCAGGTTCAATCCCCAGCCCCAGTCAGGGTTGTGTGGAAAGGCAACTGATCAATGTATCTCTCACACATCAATGTTTCTCTGTCTCCCTCCCTCCCTTCTACTCTACTGAAAAATCAATGGAAAAATATCCTCTGGTGAGGATTAACAAACAAACAAAAAATCTATGTTTAATATTATTTTATTCTTAAGAGGTTTGAAAAGCCAGGAAGCTTTCAATGTCTTACACCCTCATCAACTTCACTAGCTTGAAAAAGCAGCAGGTATCTGCAAAAGGCAACTGGAGACAAATTAATTTACATGAGTCTCAGAACGATGGGTGCCAGAACTAAGCTTAAAATCCCAGGTGCTAGCCCATCTTCTAAGAATACATCAACAAGGAATTATTAAAAGTCTATTGTGTGTCTGAGAGCAACTCTCTGTAAAGTAATACAAAGAAATATAAGACAAGTCTTTTATCTCTAGTAATTACTACTTTGCTTAAACAACAAAACTTTCAACTTCAGGCCAGTCCAGTGTGTCACAAGGTCAAGACTCTGAAGTTCTCTCTCCCACACCAACCTCAGAGAAAAGCCTGGTCACCACAGCCACATTTTCTAACATGTGACTTGCTCCTTTCTTGGCCTGTCTCCACTGCTCCTGCCCTAGGAACCAGCCCTGGGCCAGAATGACAGAGACCCAGAGGCTGCTATAAAGAGATAAACAGGGACAGCTGGGTTCTCTTTCTAATCTGAACAGGAAAATATGAAGTGACTATCATAGCAGCAGCTGGGTCTGAAGTTAGAAGGTCTAGGGGCTGGGGGCAGGGGTATGGACTTGACCACTGCACGTTCAAGATAAAACAGAACAGAAATGCAGATGCAAGTGGAAAAAAACCTCCAGAAAGAAGTGATAGCAAGAACCTGCTCAGCTTTTTTCTAACTCCAGACCACATTTATCCAGACACAGGGGTGCAGCTGTGAAAGAGCAGGAAACTGCCAACAGCTAGGGAAGGACAGAGCCGCAGGTATAAGTCAAGTAGTAATTGAACATTAAGAGCAAAGCGCAGGGCCCAGATCACATCACTCTAAGCCAAGGTTCCTCAGTCTCAGCACAGCTGACATTTTGAGCTAGATAATTCTTTATTGTCCTGTGTATTATAGGATATTTAGCAATATCCCTGGCCTCTACCCACTAGATGTCAGCAGTAATCACCTCCCCTGTTGTAGTAATAACAACAAAAAACTTCACTCCAGACAATGCCAATGTCCCCTAGAAACAAAAGCACCCACAGCTGAGAGCTACTGCTCTAAGGAGGTTGAATTTTAACCTGTTAGCAAAGGGAAATCATTTATGGATGCTCAGTATAGGGAGCAAAAAGATCAGATATGCTTTTCAAAAGAATGCAGCAGTGTGGAGGTCGACTGTGGAGGGGCAAGTAGGGAGGCAAAAGGACCAGGCAGACAATGACAGTTTTGGTGACCATCATGAATGTGTGAACCAGGGCAGCAACAGTGGAGACAGAAAAGAGAGTATGAATGCAAGTTACAATGGTAGTGTTAGAATTCCTGGGCACAACTGGACATAGCATTTGAGGGGAAGGGAGAAATGGTAGAAAATTACTTGTTTCTGGCTTGGCAATTTAGGTGGCTGCAGTGAGGGCCATTACTTAGGATAGGAAATTTAAAAAGAAGAAAGGTTTAAATATAAGTATAGCTTTAAACAGAATAAAAGTTTGAGGTAAGTGTGGGATACCCAGGTAGTGAGGTTAGTAGAGTTGGGTTCAGCTAGCCAACAGTTAATAGTACACGTTATACGCCAGGCCCTTTATAAGTATTAACACACTTAATCCTTGCCCTATCCACTGAGATAAGATGGCAACTATTGTCACCCAACCTTACAGGCAAGGAAACTGCTACCTGGAGGAGTTCAGTAATTTCTCTAAGATTCCATAGCTAGTAGGTTTCAGAGTTAGTATCCTCAACTCAGTCTGTGCTCTGAACCACTATACTGTACTGCCTGCCTCCGGAAACAGAGAAAGTTCAGGATTATCAATGTAGATGTGGATGGTTTCCCACATACAAGTGTACAGAAGTGAAGTCACAGGCTTATATGTGAATTCACAGGAAAAATGATCAGGGAGAGAAGAAAACAATTTAGAATAAAAGATTAGAGAAATATCTGTTAAGCCAAATGTGAGGAAGGAGCCAGTTGGGGCATAACACAAGAGGCAATAAGAGAAGTCTTCAGGGCAGGAAATAATGATAACCTTTTAGCCCCTTATAGATAGTAAAGGTTTTTAATTGAATTAATAAACCTAGTCCCAAATAATCATATCAAATATCCATACTTATAGCATATTCAAAGTCTTCATAGATTAACAAAACCTTAATCATGTTTGTGATTTTTCTAGAATATCAAGTTTGTAGGAGACATGTCATTAAATATGAAACAGTAGCTTAGACACCATATAAAACCATTCCTTACATTTATGTCCAGCTAAGAAGGTTTTTAAAAGCTTTATTCACATCCTATTTTCACAGCAATGAAACATGTTACTGTTTTGCATTTTGTTAAAGATCACATGAAATATTGGCTCTTCTAAGTTTTGCAACAGACAGATACAAAACTATATAATCTCTTCCTAAAAGAGGATTTAGAAAATGTGTATATGAAAACTGATTACTAGAGCATCTGGAGAATCCTGAATTGTACTGCTAGGATAAATCTTCTGTGCATCTAATAGTGTTTGTTATGCATTCCTCATCATACTTCACAATTCTATATCCTAAACACAAACATTTAGTACAAAATAAGTCAAAAAAGCTGGGCCCCATTTCCAGTTCGAGACAAGTGTTTTCTAAGGGAATAAATCTTGATTTCCAGGCCCAAATTCAAAGCGCCTTCCAAACTTTAACACATGTACAAATCATTTGAGGATCTTGTTAAAATGAAGATTCTGATTCAGTGGGTGTGAAGCTGGGCCAACACTGCATTTCTAACAAGAAATCACCCTCCTGGATGATGCTCTGGGTCCACACTCTATACAACTGCGGCCCTTGGACCAGAAACACTGGCAGCACTCAGGTACGCATCAGAACTGTAAGTCCCTCAGTGTGACAAAGCATACTAATATTATCTCTGCTGAAACTGATGACTCGAGGAATTTACATTAAATTATTTCTTTCAAAATCCATTTATAACCCAGCCAGTGAGGCTCTGTTGGTTGAGCATCGTCCTATATACCAGGGGGTCACTGATTCAATTTCCAGTTGGGGCACAATGCCCATGTTGCAGGCTCAGTATGGAATGTGCAGGAGGCAGTCAATCACTGTTTCTCTCTCACTGATGTTTCTCTCTCTCTCTCCCTCTCCTTCCTCTCTCTGAAATCAGTAAAAACATATTTTTAAAATCCATTTACAATCCATTCATTCACATATTCTTTATTAGACCTTCTTTCCTCTCTATTGTGTTCATTATCTTTGAGATGCATAGCTTATCCTGGATTGGTTGGTTAGCACCCAGACAATCCAAGGATCCTCACAGTGGAAGAGGAAACCAGAAGAAGAGGTGTGATGAGATGTGAGGAGGACTCAACAACCTACTATTGCTGGCTTTGAAGATGGAGGAAGTGACCATGAGCCAGTGAGACCCGTGCGGAACTTTTAACCTGAAGAATTGTGTAATATATGTGTGTTGTTTTAAGTCACTAATTTGTGGCAACAACAGGAAACTAATACGGTATAAAAAGAGACTAATATGGAATAACTAATACATATAAAAAGAATTCTCCAAAACAAACACAGGTCATGCCTCAGCAGGGTAGTGTGATGCTCTAAAAAAAGCTCAACAAATATGTTCATTAAAATTTAGTATGCATTACTAAAAAATATACCTGTTTCTCTTAAAAAGCTAATACACAAAGCTTAAAAACAGGTTTATAGAAGATTGAAAGTAAATACAAAAAATTTTGATTGAAAAATAGGTTAGTAAATAAAGGAGAACAAGGAATTTTCAACCAAACAGGGTGACAAAAATTAAGCAGAAAAAATTTGATACTCCTTGCAGATAACATTTAAAAAGGGATCGCCATACTACCCTTTTCCATAGGTCAGTCAGAAGGGAAAAATTAGGATTTCTTTTAAAGCTTATATTTACCTGATGATCCTCTGGGCAGCATACTGATGGAGAGAACGAAACTGGGCCGACATATTTGCTAAAGCTGCCAAACAATTTGTGTGAAGGTACTTGTCCTGTCAGAAAACAGCAAGTTGAAAACATTCATCAAGTCTTCTCCTCATTGTACGCAAGGCTGATTAGAAGCGAATGTAAACTAGACTGTCGTTGATTTTTGAAAGCTCAAGTCCACGATCTCTTTTCTCTAATTCCAAAAATCGATAAAGCACTGAAAGTTCAAAGTGTTTTTTTTCACCACACGTTTGGAAGCAACATCTGGCACAAAAGAGTATGATGCTATTTATGGTCTTCATTATCCCTGCCCTGGTGAATACTGAAGTATTTTGCTACAGAAATATTAATGTTTAATTACAGTGCACTGCTCCAGAACCTAATGGTTACATACACTGTAAGCATATGCACTATAATTATCTTTCTAAAATCAAAACATTCTCCATTCTAAAACACATCTGGCTCCTAGAGTTTCAGATAAAAGACTGTGAACATGTATCTACATTAGCCCCATTGAGAGAAATAATTGAAAACAGGTCAGTAAACTTCACCATTTCTCTGAGCTATGAATTCTGTATTTGGCTTCTCTATTGACTAGAACTGAAATTTGCTTCCAGGTACTGCAAATACAGTCCAGTTGAAATTTTCCTTTTATTCTTTGAAGTAGTCTCTCTCTTCTACTTTTCTTTCCCAACTGAATTCATTTTGTTCTTGTGCTCATATATTCTTAGTTTATTGTTGCTTTTAAAAGGCAAATCAGTTTTATCAGTCCCACAAAGATATACAGCATCTTTTATCTAAATGTGCTCCACTGCCTGTTTTTGATCTCATGTAAAACATCTGTAATCATACAATCTATTATAAATATTAAGAAACAGACACTATATATAGTACCTTAGGATCATGAATACAGTGACTATATGCTAATCTGTATTGTTCTACTGTATTTCATGAGAATGTTGGCACTCTAAATATTGAGATTGCTTTCAACTGTAGTCTTAATCGTACAGTATGCATAAAGATAAAAAAAGAAGTAGCTATGGAATACTTACTCTTGTCCTTGTCATGTTGTACTGAATGGTTCTTATTACAACCAGTATCAGGAGACTCCCCAGTGAAATTTCTGTTAAAACCCGTTCTGAATACCAAGTAATATTTTTTAATATCTGTAATGGGGAAGAAAAGTTTAAGTAAACATGATTGATTTAGGAAAAAAGTATTGTCCATGTCTATAATTTCAGTAAGTCATGACTATGCTCTGAGTTAAACAGTGTATCAAAGTGAGTAGTGAGACTTTCAGTTCAAGAGAGCCATTTGTGCTAATGTGTTTACTTCTTCCTCCTTCCTTCTTAAATATAAAAGGGGTAAAAAATGAAGTCTGGAACAGAGGAGGACGTAATTAGTAGACAAAAGGAGGTATGGCACTTAGGACAAGATGATAGAAAAAAACAGTTAAGAGCTCAACAGTTTAAAAGCAAAAGTAAAAAAATGAAGGATTCGCTTGAAAAGTAGAGCTGTCCCAACAACCACAGAAAACCACTATGTTGTGTTCAAGAAAAGGTCAAGAATGACAATAGCCGAGATTTTCAAGAAAAGATGTCCTCATTTGCTGTTCTGTCTATTCAGAGCAGGCAGCTCATCTCCAGGCCTCAGTAAGCAAGAACTGTTTTCTATTTAAGTTGGTACAGTTCCACTGTAGATTTGCAACATGGATATCAGAGAGAAAGACAAAGAAATGGTCAGTGCAGCAGCCAGTTCTGGGCTGCCAACAGGCTCAGCTGAGCACTAGAACTCCCTGATGTTCTCTTCCATTTAAGTCACTGCTACTTCCCTTCTCTTTGACTCAGGGAGTCAATGTGCCACATACTTCTCCATCTAAGTATGAAAAAGGAAGACTTCTGGGCTGATTCCTGCCTTCTCCAATAAGAAGATGATACACAGCAGATCTCCATCACTCACAACTGCCTTTCAAAACAAACGAGTCTAGACTTTCATTTATAACTATGAATGGACAATAAAAAGCCACAAAAAAGTAGAAAAATGCAATAATCTCAAAGGGAGATATGCCACATTTAATCAAGCGCATACTAGTATATATGAAATATAGAGACTAGAAGAATATGTTAAATAATATGATAATATAATCAGCCAAAGCCAAATGTTTAGAAAATTCTACTAAACAAATAACCCAGTTTCTATAACATATAAATGGTATAAAAAGGTGGGAGAGAGCCCTGGCCAGTTTGGCTCAGCAGTTACAGCATTGGCCCATGCATTGAAGGGTTTTGGTTCGATTTCCAGTCAAGGGCACATACCTGGGTTACAGGTTCGATCACCAGCCCTGGTTAGGGTCTTGTGGAAGGCAACCAACCAATGTATGCCTCTCGCATAGGTATTTCTTTCTCCGCCCCCTCCCTGCCGCCTACTCTATAAAAAAAAAAAAAAAAAAAAAAAAAAATTCAACGGAAAAGTATCATCAGGAGAGGATTAAAAAAATAAAAAGGTGGGAAAGGGAGGCACTGTCATATATTAAAAAAGAATCTTAGGAAGATTCCAAAATGGTGGCGGAGTGAACAGAAGCTACACAGACCGTCTCCCAGAACCAAACTGGAATTACAACTATAACACAGACAAATCGACGGAAAAAAACAACAGAAAAGCAGCTTGCGAGGACCATATAACCAGGGACACTGACTCCATCCCGGTAGGCTTGCGAAGGCGCAGACGAGGGCTGGGAGCCCACGTCGGCAGCTCGGCAGCAGCCTTAGCTGGGAGCGGCGCCCTCGGGTCACACTCCCAGGCGGCTCCACAGCGCAGAGCCGGGACAGAGGCTGAAACAGCCACAGCCACTCACCTTGGGCTCTGGCAGAGGGAGGGCAGACTGGACTGGAACTGTGTGGAGACATGTGGGGTTTGGAGGGCACTCAGAGCTTTTGCTGAGTTGCAGCCACGTAGGACAGTGGCCATATTGCTCCTTCCCAGGGCCCTGGGGAGAGGCAGCAGCCCCTCCCTGGGAGATCCAACCCCACCCTGTGGGCCATTGAATTGCTAACTGAAGCTCATTAACAACCAGCATCTGTCCCACCCTGGTGAAATCGCCTTATGCTGCACCTGAGGGAGTTTTTCAATCAACTGACAACCCAAAACCCATCAAGTAACCTCAACTGCTAGCCTCCAGGCAAAAAGCTAGAGGATAACAGTACCTTGCCTGGGCTAGCAATTTTAACCAGGAAAGTAAGACCTGACAGTGGTGTTTAATGTGGGTCCACCCTCACTCATCTAAACCCAGGAGAGGGAGCCACAAACAGCAGAACACCAACACCCACAGGGAAAACTTGACAGTCTCCAAAGCCCACAGTGATAGCCAAAATGGTGAAACACAGAAACAAAAGCCAAATGAAAGAGCAAGAGACCTCCACTGAAGATGAGATCATTGTGGAGCAGTTAGGCATGTTAACAGAGCTAGAATTCAGAGCCATGATCTTGAGAAGGCTCAAAAGCATGAGTGAGGACATAGAGACACTGAAAATAAGCCAGTTGGAAATTAAAAACCATCAAGAAGAGATAAAAAATGACATATCAGAAAGGAAAAACACATTGGAAGGTTTAAAAAGCAGAGTAGAGGAAGCTGAGGACCGGGTCAGTGAATTAGAAGACAGGGTAGAAAAAAATCAACCAATCAGAAAACCAAAAGGAAAAAAACGATTAAAAAACAGGAAGACAGCTTAAGAGAACTGTGGTACAACTGGAAACGTAATAATATTCGCATCATAGGAGTCCCCAAAGAAGAAGAAAACAAGCAAGGGATATAGAATATATTTTAAAAAAAATAGTGACAGAAAACTTCCCTAATTTGGTGAAGGAAGAAGGCATTCAAGTTCAAGAAGCACAGAGAGTCCCAAGTAAGAAGAACCCAAATAGGCCCACACCGAGACACACAGTTATTAAAATGCCAAAAATTAAAGACAAAGAGAGAATCCTAAAAGCAGCAAGAGATAAGCAACAGGTTACCTACAAAGGAAACCCTATAAGGCTCTCAGCTGACTTCTCACAAGAAACACTACAAGCCAGAAGGGAATGGTATGAAGTAATCAAGGTCCTGAAAAACAAGGATCTGAATCCAAGACTACTCTACCCAGCAAGGCTATCATTCAACATAGAAAGTCAAATAAAGAGCTTCCCAGACAAAAAAAAGGCTAAGGGAATACATTAGCACTAAACCAGTACTACAAGAAATGTTACAAGGACTGCTGTAATTAGCAGGAGAAATGGGAAGAAAAATAGAACCACACTAAACAAAAATGGCAATAAATAAGTACATATCAATAATCACGTTAAATGTAAATGGATTGAATGCTCCCGTAAAAAGACACAGAGTAGCTGATTGGATAAGAAAGCATGACTCATCTATATGTTGTTTACAAGAGACCCACCTCACAACAAAAGACTCACAATGGTTGAAAGTGAAGGGATGAAAATAAATTTTCCAAGCAAATGGAAAGCAAAAAAAAGCTGGGGTAGCAATACTCGTATCTGATAAAATAGATTTCAAAATGAAGGCCATAACTAGAGACAAAGAAGGTCACTAGATAATATTGAAAGGATCTATCCAACAGGAAGATATATGCACCCAATAAAGGAGCACCAAAATATATTAAAAATCTTCTGGAGGACGTCCAAGGAGAAATTGACACCAATACAATCATAGCAGGGGACTTCAACACCCCGTTGACACCACTGGATAGATCCTCTAGACAAAAAATTAGCAAGGAAACAGAGACTCTAAATGAAGCACTAGACCAAATGGATTTAATAGATATCTACAGAGAATTACACCCCAAAACTATAGACTACACATTCTTCTCAAGTGCACATGGGACATTCTCAAAGACAGACCACATGATAGGACACAAACTAAATCTCTACAAGTTCAAGAAGACTGAACTCATATCAAGCATCTTCTCAGATCACAATGGCATAAAACTAGAAATCAATTGCAACAAGAATATGCAAAAACATTTCAACACATAGAGGCTAAATAGCATGTTATTAAACAATGAATGGGTTACCAAGGAGATCAAGGAAGAAATTAAAAACTTCCTAGAAAACAATGAAAATGAACATACAACAACACAAAATCTATGGGATGCAGCGAAAGCAGTTCTGAGAGGGAAGTTCATAGCACTACGGGCCTACCTCAAGAAACAAGAAAAATTTCTAATTGACTGTCTAACCTCACAACTTAAAGAATTAGAAAGCAAACAAAAAGAAAACCCCAGAGCAAGTAGAAGAAAGAAAATAGTAAAGATCAGAGCAGAAATAAATGACATAGAGACCAAGAAAACAATTCAAAGGATCAATGAAACAAAGAGCTGGTTTTCCGAAAAGATAAACAAGATTGATGGACCCTTAGCTAGACTCACCAAGAAACAAAGAGAGAGAACCCAAATACACAAAATCAGAAATGAAAGTGGAGAAGTAACAACCGACACCACAGAAATACAAAAGATTGTTAACAGGTACTATGAACAACTATATGGCAACAAATTCGACAATCTAAGCAAAACGGACAAATTTCTAGAAACACACAGTCTCCCAAAACTGGACCGGGAAGAGAATGAAAACTTGAACAGACCAATAACAACTAAGGAAACTGAAGAGGTAATCAAGACTCTCCCAGCAAACAAAAGCCCAGGCCCAGATGGCTTCACGGGGGAGTTTTACCGAACATTCAAAAAAGAACTAACACCCATTCTCCACAAACTATTTCAAAAAATTCAAGAAGAAGGAAGACTTCCAAACACATTCTATGAGGCCAGCATAATTCTAATTCCAAAACCAGAAGAAGACACTACAAAGAAAGAAAACTACAGGCCAATATCCCTGATGAACATAAACACCAAAATCCTGAACAAAATACTAGCAAATCGGATCCAGCAATAAATACATCAAAAAAATTATTCACCATGACCAAGTGGGATCCAGGGATGCAAGGCTGGTACAATATTCACAAATCAATAAATGTGATACACCACATAAACAAAAGGAAGAATAAAAACCACATGATCATATCAATAGATGCTGAAAAAATCTAGCATCCATTTCTGATATAAACGCTCAGCAATGTGGGAATAGAGGGATCATATCTCGACATAATAAAGGCCAT